AGAATAATGAATTTCAGAAGCCGCTCACACATGAGAAAGTAGAAAATGTCGTCAAGAAATCTGTAAGAGCCCTAAGGGTCTGCTTAAACGACAGTTGCTTGATCCCAATGCGTACCGACTAAGCAGCTATTTCAGATTTTTGCATAGATATCAGGTATGGCTGATGAGTAGCATGGAAGTGCAATTGATGGACTAGTGAAAATTCAGAAGAAATCGATCAAAGAAAGGTTCAATAGTGAAAATAATTCGAAAAATGTGTTACATGATCTCCTGGAAACGCGTAACGAGTGAAATTTTTCATTCTACAAGTAAACGTGAACGAATTGGTAATTCATCAATGTTAAAGTCACTCTCTGGTAAGCTCATTTCCCTTCTCCCTTNCAACCTTGTGAGAATAATGAATTTCAGAAGCCGCTCACACATGAGAAAGTAGAAAATGTCGTCAAGAAATCTGTAAGAGCCCTAAGGGTCTGCTTAAACGACAGTTGCTTGATCCCAATGCGTACCGACTAAGCAGCTATTTCAAATTTTCGCATAGATATCAGGTATGGCTGATGAGTAGCATGGAAGTGCAATTGATGGACTAGTGAAAATTCAGAAGAAATCGATCATAGAAAGGTTCAATAGTGAAAATAATTCGAAAAATGTGTTACGTGATCTCCTGGAAACGCGTGACGAGTGAAATTTTTCATTTTACAAGTAAACGTGAACGAATTGGTAATTCATCAATGTTAAAGTCACTCTCTGGTAAGCTCATTTCCCTTCTCCCTTATTTGACCTGCAGGATAGACATGTTGTGCTATGGTAAGTAAATGTTCAGTACGTATAATAACTATAGGTGTGGAGGAGGCCTACACGACAGTGATCAGTAAACATTGGATCAAACATCGAGGATACTTTTTCAACACCTCAATTTCATTTCCACATTAACAAAGGAAAACATTATAGTGCGAACAAGAAAAAACCTACCGTCTCCAGGTCAATGTCTGCTAGTCCAAATCTTGACATAACAATTCCAGCCGATGGAAATTCTTCTAATATCGCTTCTTTCATAGCTAAGTCATCCATGACAGCACCACCATGCTTAACAACAAAGTATACTCTAACAAAAACCAAAGGTATTTCCATTTGACTTTCTTTTTTAAGGCTTGTTATTGATAGTCAAGATTGAAAAGGTGGCTTGGGGCGAAATAACCAACCTCCGTGGTAACGTTAAGCAAGCTTGTAATGAAAATAAGAACTGGAAGCAAAAATGGATGCACCCCCGCAGACTATCCACTAGAACAGCTAGAAAACTCAATTTTAACGTACCGTCACATTAGCAGCCGGTATCCATCTCAGGTAGCATTCATTCCATAACTGTAGATCTGCTATTGACGTTGGAGGGCGAAGAATTTCATAAATTAAGGGGTGCCCTGGAAAAAATGAAGCTCAGATAGAATGTATCGAACCATCTTGTAAAAATATATCTTCCCCTTACTCTGCTTGCCCTCTCCTACAACGAAATCATGAATAGAGGGAGTACGAGACTTAATCATTTAATACATCATCACACTCGTCAACTTAAGTCTACCTCTATGCTTCTGAAGCTGCCACCTTTGCACATGTGGTATATGTAGAATGGGGTTGGTATAAAACGAAAACTATGGGCGAAAGGGGTTTGTGGGGTAGCTGCCGTTTGGGATTCTAATTAAGCAAATAGCGAACGACCATCCAAAACAACATGGAACTTTGTACACATTCAATGAAGTTGGTCAAAAATTAAAAGAACATAAGCCTAATTAGCAATCCCAATTTCAAACCAAGAACAGCAAACCCAATGATGAATAACCCTTATTGCAAGCCTAGGCTGAAACTATTAGGTTGATGCATAATTATTGCGGATTTTTTCGGGGCTTTTTTTCTCCACAAAGTGTTTGACTATTGAGTTCGGGTTTTTTAGAAATGATCTACTTGATTTCCTCTACGACAATATACTCGATAAACCATCCGCATAATCGCGAAATTAGGCTTAACTACTTCGAGAAAGATTGGAAGGTGGCGCAGTCATTCCGCTATCTCAGCAACTTTTCGGCGATCGAACAATGAGCCAGAACCAACCAAGAAATGGGATCTCCCCCTAAATCTGCCATATTCACCAGCGATACTTTTATGGATTATCCCGTCAACCGTTCATCGAAAAAATGGCTATAGAATAGAAGTTACGTCGATTTGGATGACTTGTTGGCCGATGTCAAGGCGTGGATCGCCTGTAAGGATCAAAACCTCTTCGCTTTTGGGATCCGACTAACTAATCATTGGGAAGCAGCGCTTGACGTAGATGGTGAATAGGTTCCAGAGTGATTATTTGAATATGTCTTTACTTAATATTTCTATTGTTTCTTTACGTAAAATTTGCTGGAAAAAATCCAATATATAGAGGCAGGTAAAATGCAGGGAAATGGAAAATATCAAAATGTTTGACCGCAATTGACCGTGTTTGACCACCAGGACATCATGTGTACTTTCACTAGATCACCTAATGAACGATCGTTGAAAAGTTACTGAGATCGCGAAATGAGTGCGCCACCTTCCAATCTTTCTTGAAGTATTAAAGCCTAATTTCGCGAATATACGGATGGTTTTTTGAGTATATTCTTGTAGAGGAAATCAAGTAGATCATTTCTAGAAAGAACCCGAGCTCAATATTCAAACTCTATCGAGAGAAAAAAAGCCACGAAAAAATCCGCAATAATTATGCATTAACCTAATAATATGAAGGCCAACAAATTAGCACTCCAGCATCGGCCGGAAAGGGTCGACGATCCAAATATTACACCACATACCTGTCGCTTTCTCCACAATGGCTGCTCCAATATTGGTAATATTTGAGAATAACCGTGAGTAGGACTCATTGAAAAATCGTTCCAATGGAAACGGGCTGCCAGTAATGTTTGAGGCTATTTGGTCTGTAATTGATGAAGCAGAAAATGCTGGCACCATTCCTGTTAACGACAGGTCCCATAAAGCTATCAACGCATGTTGAGTGTAGGTGAACCTATAAAAACACATGAAGCCTCAGCTACACACATACATTTGATGGAATTAACGCCAGACATACTGCATTGGATAAAGCCGAATGAGTTGAGCGATGCAGTCAAGAAACACTAGGAATGTAGGAGCGGTGACGCCTTCGTTGGTACCACCCGAAATACCAAAAAGGCGATGAGCGAATGGATGACCCAAAGCTATCCAGTCCTTCGCAATTAAAGAGTCCAGCCCTGAGAATGAGCCAAATTAGAAAAAATGAAAAAATATGTCAGTGATTCGGAAGGTTCACAAAGAGGTACCTTCGAGAGTTCTATAGTATCGATCACAGCAAATTTGAACAAGACTAGAGACTACAGCCGAAATATCTAGGCCATTATTTTCTGAAAAAAATGAAAATAACACAGAAGTGTATACGATTTTTAGCATATCAGTTGCTTCTGCAGGAGTTATCAAGTGCATCACTGAGGGAGGGCCTTTGTCTACTTCGAGGCATATGTCTATTCCATACCACCTAGCCATTCAAGCTCGAGCTTCCTTCGAGTGAATCTTCAAATATCGCAAAATTTCGCAGACACAAACGCGCACAGCGTGCACAAAGAGGGTATGAATGATTACGAGCATCTTTTGCATCGTAACTATCCCTAATGGAGTAAGTTATTCCGTAGGAGGTAGCATCTAGCAAGTAGAAACGCAGTAGCCCTCCCACTCAGCTCATAGCTGCGACGATATCGTCAACTTAACTCAAATCCATGCTTGAGAGGTTTACAGCAAGCCACAACCGAAATTGTATTCCCAATATTTATAGCAAATCGAATGGGTCTTCTGGCTCAGTTTTAAAATGCAATTTGTAACGTACAAATTTTAGAGTACAACGAAAGACTGACTGCAATCGTACCGTAAATAATCACAGAGCACTCATGGTCCACAAGAGAATCAATTGCTTCCGCAGCTGCAGATAAGCAATAGCTGACGATCTGTAACCATCCCGTTTGACTAATCCTCGCTAACCAATCCTTATCTCGAGACGCAAACTGTTCATAGGATTCTGAAAATAGAATTACGACTGAAGGATCAGCTCAATCCATGTCACCTCCCCTTTTTATCGAAAGAAATGCAACTGAAATGTAAGATTCACAAAAAGCGAGAAAGAAATTAGTTTCGACTAGGGTTCTTCGCATCGCTCATCGGTCATGGTTACATGGTTTTCTGCGAAATTGTAAAAACTTGAATAACAATAATAATTTCGAGAAATCGATTCGAAAATGAAAAGAAATCAAGTATTCTCATTCAAGTTTGTGAAATTTTTCCATTGAAGCTTTTCGCACCTGCAGAACAGTACCGCCGTAGACGATCGAATGACGAGGCGATCTTCTGGGGTGTGATTTCAGGATTCAGTGAAATCAATTGAGGAGGGTTCTCACTTCTTGTAGCTCTCGCCACACATTTGATTACTCTAAAGAAGCTGTCCATAGATAATTTTAAAAGATTCAGTAACAAAATGGCATCGCTAAAACGACAAACTCACGAACTTATCATTAAGATGTGGAGATTCCCAGTTTACGTCGAAATTTGAGGAGCGAAGAAGCGAAACTCCTGAACGAGACCACACCCAAATCTAAATCAAAGTTTTTAGGTAGGTTGGGTACAAGGAAAATAAAAACAGCTAACTGGAAATCGACTGAGCTGCCAATGCTGGGCCATCCGATCCAGATCGTGTTGTACAATTTCAGCTGGTATAACGAAATACATAGGAAAGCTGAAGAATAACATATGAAGCAAAAAAAGCATAATTCTCTGCCATATGAAATATGAAAACGACTAAAGTGTACGGTATAACAATTTTCCGAACGGGTTGCAATTTCAAAGTTCAGTTCTGAACAGTTCTAACTTCCAGTCGAAACATCTCTATTTCGATAACGAGATAACGTTTACAATGGATCCCTTTGATGTCGGGTCTAGCGGAAGGTAAATGAGATTTATGAATGAGTCCTACAATTTCAACTGCTAATGGTCAAAACTGGATAAAGCGAATAAAAAAACGGCCTGAATCAATTATTCAAAAAGGAATCGTTCCATGAAGGCAACGCTTTACTGCACATGGTTTGGCGACTCGGCAGAAGTTACTGGAGCTCGGCTTTAAACCAATGTTGCATCTAAAATGTAGCCCTGTCTCGAGCTATCATGCTACAATTTGTTTCGGTCCTTGCACCACTACTTGAACCTTTCAAAAAACTTTTACCGAAATCAAGGGCGTCAAGTCTTGCGTAGGACAGTACTCCGCAGGAAAAACACAAAAATTTTAACTACGAGGAAATATGAAATAACCAGAAAGATAGTGGCAAAAGGTAACCGAAAAAATGGAGAAAATATTATTCATCCATTATAAGAGAATTTCCTTGGAACCTTCAAAATCCCACTTACTTTACAAACATGAAAATAGGTAATCATAAAAATCAGAGCTCAAAGATTCTACAAAATGTGAAGTTCTCCTGCTAATGCTAGATTTTGCAAGGTTCTTTTTTGCTTTAAATAAAAAACAAAATGCACAGGGCAAATTAAGTGGATGTGACTTGGCATAAAAAACCGAATTAAGGAGTTTACGGTACTCACCTATGCACGAAATGTCTTGCACCATGAGGGAACTGACTGCATATCCGCCAATCCTCCTGAGTACGATGCCCACACCTTTTAAGCTCACCATCCCAGGAAGCTGCATCATTGAATGGAACTGAACAGAACAATTTTATCATCTTTATCCAAACCTAGGACGCCTGAAAAAGCTATTTTTCACTGATGTGGTTTCACTGCACCACTGCTACTAATAGACGAAGTACTTGTTCTATATGAAAATAGTTTTGACCTTATTTTCTGTCAAGGGCTGTAATTTTGCCGCCGTACACGATCCATAAATCCCACAAAGGTTGCGAGTTGGGCGAAATCTCGACCCCCGACAGGACTCGGACCCTTACTTGTGCTCGCAGTTTTGCCCATAATTCGCCACCCTTTAGAGATTAATCGTTACGCACGCGAATAAACAATACTCTCCTTGCTCTGCAACCCTTTTCGTCTTTAATCGATGCGAAACGGCAGTCGACGGGAAACGCTTTTGTTATCATCATCAACTATTTGTTTTGCTCGGAACCACTGAGGATTGTTGAGTGCAACACAAATCACAAGTACACTAAGACTTTTCACCCGAGTTTTACATATGCTTTTTGAATCAGATGTAGCAGTCATCTCCCCGATTCCCGCTCTTAGAAGGATGGAAAGAGGAATTATTCAGTTTCAGCTGACTGTACCGGAAATTATGCAGATGAGATACCTCTGGTATGTTGTATTGTACGAGAATTTTAACAAAGTAAACAAGTAAACTTAACTGCAGCCTTGGACTCACCTCTTCCTCTCCAATCGGGTTCAGCACCGGATTGAATAATATTATCGGTTTTCATTGGACGTGCAAAAAACAAAATTTGATTTAGTAGACTAACTCCATTTTGAGAGCCTCGCAAATCTATTGTCATTACTCGGAAATCCTGAAATATCGAGATTTAAATAACGTGCACCTTTTCCAATATGAAAGCAATAGTAAGGTATAAAAAAGTTTTTAACCTTTAAATGAAGCTTTATACAGGAGACAACTTCTAAACTTGAAAGGGATGATGTTGAAGGGAGAAACTTTTTCTTCGTTAAAGATTGGTTCTCTGTGAAAAAAAACCTCAAAATTGGAGCTGAATTGGTTACATCATAGAACTGCTAAAGTTATAAAAGGAACAAAAGTTATAAAAGGAATAAAAGGAGTCGCAAGAGTTACTCACGTCTTACTGGAGCAAAAAATATCGAATGAATTGAACAGAGAGGGATATCCCACCTCTCATGAAATATCTTAAATCGTGGCGATAAATCATTCTGTAAATGTCAATTTTAGCGAAAAAGAAATGCCTTAATAGCATAAATCAATTTAGTGACCTCAGGTTTTGCCACAGGCTCGAAACGAAGGCGGAAATTCGTGCATACAACCCGTCCAAACGTATTTTCCAAAAAAGGAAATCCAAAAGAACATTGCTCACAAAAAGCGCATTCTATCTCTCCTAAAAGAGGTTACAAATGAAGAAACACAGGCATAACGCAATTTATCACTTCAATTCAGGTCGCGAACGATAAAAAAGAAATGATCACACACCTTTTAGCAAACTACCATCAACATCGGAAGAGGATATCCCTGGGCGATCAGCAGGCTACAAAAAGAAAAATAAGAATTGATTATCGATAGCTTTACAAAACTATGCTGCTCGCACATACTCTATATCGGAAGCATATTTGGAAGTCACTACGCTCAACAAAATTAGCCAACATAGGATTTGAAAAGGGACATGTATCCCATCAAAAATGCAAATTACAAGAGCAGATTCGTCTTTGTATTAACTTACATCGTAAAACCCATCATTCAAAAGGAACTGGTCATGGAAAAAGGAAAAAAGAAAGAAAAAGCAGTACCTCAGCAATTAAGATTCCCACTAAGGACAGTAATGAGCACAAACTTCCGCATCCTTTACATCTAATGACCACGTATGATGAAAATGTGCGGACGAGGGGTGGAGGGAACGAAAAGGTACCAAACCGAAAAAAAATAGTTCCCGGGCAACTCGCACTTCTCTAGTTGTCATTGCTCCATATCGACCCAACAGGACCTCCTAACATTCCTCTCGCCTAACGGTATTTAGATTTAGACTCCGTAGGAGTCGATGTGTTTATGGAAAAGGCTCTGTGCCCTTTTCAATCTATAAACTTGGCTTGTGCCCTTAGGAAGTGCCAGAGCACTATGGTTTGGGACATTTTTCTCCAATTTCAAATTTTTATATATTGTTTATAAAAGCTCACGATAGCTGAACCCCTTCGTAAACCCGTCATCCGAAAGCAATCGCTCGGAATAGCTACTTAATGCACGTGACAGCATTACGAATTCAGGTGCCCCTCAATGAGTATGATGATATCATCAGAGAAATTCAAAGAGGACAAGACAAGAACAGACATCAAGCTAGCCCTACTCCCTCCCATGCTTTCTACTTTCTATGTTTCAGGGCTTTGAAAGATTGATCTAGTAAGTGCAGAAAATTGACCGATCGTTGGATTTAAAATGGGTCATCTCCAGAAAAACATTCCGATCGGAAACTGGTAAAGTTGCCTATCGGCCATCTTCTGAAAATCAGCTATCCCTAAGTGGAAAGTGCCCCTTTCAGGGTACTTGCTAGTTTATAGCATCCAAAAAAGAAAACGAATCAAATCGTTCCACTTCAAGGGCAATACTAACCTTTCCTTCATCAACCGTTTGATCTCCTATGTAAGAAAGAAACGTGCCCGAAGCCGACATTATATTAGCATTGCTTTAGTCGGCCACACTAAGAATAGACAGAATTTTCTGTCTTAAATTCTAAAATACACTTTCTACAGGTTACATCTAAATGATGCAGAAAAATGGATGAAAACCTTATGTACATGAATGCACATTTTGAAAATAGCATATATTATTGGCATCTTCAATTTCATTAACACAACATAAAACACTCAACCGTAAAATTGCTCAAGCACATATTCAACCGAAATACCAGAACAGTAAACAAGGCATTCACAATTTGGAGAACATAAAACGGTTACATAAGCTTTGAGCGAAATTGAGCATCTCCACACATTATGCTGTTACGTTAAGCGAAACCAATCCTTTTCTTCGAATTAGCGGGGGTATGTCCGCCATTAGAGAAAATAAATTAATCTTTACTCACAAGAAACTGAACTGTACAAACGATAACAAAAATGCAGTTATGTGGTTAAAACGACAATGAGCACCATATGTTCATATGAGACGGTTGAATACGGTAATCGATATGGGTGTCGCACGGGAATCAATATCAGAGAATATCTTTAATTATCAAAAAAAGTTGCATCGGCATAGATGAAATCCGTAGTTGATAATTGTAAAGGGCAACAACTCATAAAAATAACGGTGAAGGCCCATGAACATCAGTGAGAAAGAGCACGAGAGATGGTAATCAATCGTGGCAACACCTGAAATAATGCTTTCCGGAAAACATGATACTTGATCTATTAAAACAAAAAAATAATTGGCTAGGAACATGTCGATGCCCGTATGCACGAATGTTCAGCGAAATCCAGTTTTTAGTGGCAGCGCCATCCATTTTTCCTCTGTGAAACACTAATCAGCTTGTTTTGAGAGGGACAGGAAGATCACTCAATCGCACATATCAAAACCTCGCACCACTCAACGAATGCCTATTCATGTGTTCATAGCAAGTGATTGTCCTAGCTGTGAAGAACGACAGCAACCTGGCTGAGTGAAAGAAAAGCCACTGTTTCAATCGAAGACTATTTAAACATTTCTAAATTCAATTGTAATTCTGATGCTAACCTGAATCTACAATTGTAAATGTTTCGACAAAAACTAAATGAATAGAAAACGAATGAAAATTTTTGTTACTGGAACACCTTCCCATCAGCTCAGGTGCGATCGATTTTTCTAAGTATAACACAAAACCTCAGCGAAGGAATTGCGTTTTTCCCATTTTTTTTTTGAACTCACACCGCTTAGACCGGTTGGACTAGTCAGATTAATTCTCTGACACTTCGAATAACTTTTAGGAGCAGTTTCTCATCACCCCAATTGGTAACTACAATACCAAGCAAACACCGAACGGCGGTCAGTAGTTCAGCTTGAGGTCTCTCTGTTATGATTACAGTTCAGGTGCTTAGTTTACGATATCACAGAGAGAAGTGGGCTTTTTTATTCGAGCCTCATTTATTCAGGTTTACCATATCACATATTTAAAGGTAAAAACTCAATGAAGGCAACTCCCAGCCGATGAAGGCAATCAAATGCTGCTGAAGTTACCAATGAATACTCTTTAAGAACAATATAACAATAATCGCTGCTGCGGTAAGAACCTGCTCGTCAGCAGATGAAGATAAACAGGAGCCCGCCGGGTGGACCAGTTTTTACCGTGAATTCAAACAGGGTAAAACCAATGGAAGTTTGGTACACAAATGGTAACTATCAGCGACAATTGGCAACTTATTTTTGGTCTCATAACTAATTGTCCTAGACTCGAATTTAGCAGGACCTTTACTTAGGAGGTAGTGCAACAATGTTCTAGCATGAGGGAAGCAAAATCAATTCAGAGAGGACGACGCTCATCATTCCATCGAAGTGAAATGCAAAAATTAACTACCACATGCGAGTGACAAACCAAATGTCGAACTAGATTTCGCAACTCGATGCAATTGATTTCAGCTATTCAAATACAACTAGAAGTCAAGACTGAAATACTGAAAATCACTTGTTACTCTCATCGGTCATTCATGCAAATTTAAACCTCAAAAATTATCAAAATGACGTAGTTTGAATCACACTAATAATATATTGAATAGCCCCCATAGAAATAGATATTCCTGCAAACAAAACAGAAAAATCTCAGGTTTTCTTCACATAATCTTAAGGTAATTGGGCAGGGCACGTCTCGAAGCTTTGATGAATTCTAGGAAATTGTCACATCCGCAAAAACAATTTGAGCATTGTTTAGTTATCTGAATGAATGGCCAAAACGAAATATTTCCAACAGCTTGTCTCAATATAAGTGCCTATGGCATTCGGGGAATCTTCTTGAGTCAGGGTGTAGATCCCAGATACTCATATTGTTACAAGGACTCCAGGCAAGGAAAAACCTCATGGATAAATTGAAGAAAGCAGCATTTTCAGTAAAAAAAACTTGGATAAATTGAAGAAAGCAGCATTTTTAGTAAAAAAAAAACTTGCTCTAAATTTCAGTCTCAAATGAAGCTTCTAGCTCGCTTCTAGCTCGTAGCTCGTTCACTCAGTGAAACCTTAACACTAATTCTCGAAAAACAACTGTTGCAGCACTGGGAACCTTTGAGCATACATACCTCCTTCAAACGAAGCTCGATACAAAAACTGTTTTTTACTCAATTTTGTTGAACATAGTTATATAAGAATGTTCGAATTTTTTCAAAAGTACTGCAAACTTCACGAGGTTTGTTTACATCCAACTTGCCTTTCGAGCTGCCCTGGCTCTATAAGTTGCAGTTCAGAAGTTCAGTCGCTGTGCGCCCCAGTCGATATGGTGGTCGTTGCGCATGACCAAACATCACCTCAAGGGCGCCCCAGCAAGTTACTTCTATATTTATGACGCATGGTTCGTATGCCTCGCCTAATTACTAGCATCCGGGGGAAAAATTCAGAGAGGAAAATTGCGAATGTGAACCGCGAAAGAAACAGACCACGACTCCAATACAAAGCTTTTTAGCCTCATTTTTTTTCGGAAGCGAAAGAGTGTATTGATTTCATAAATGAAAATATGAACCTAATGATAGACCTATCAAAGTGATCTCAGGTTTTCATATAGCAGATTCTGAGTTTTTAACGGATTTCTATGCTCTTCTATTTTCCCTTTTTAATAATGAAAAAAACATGGACCTAAGTTTGTGATCAGCAAACAAAAACGGCACTTTAAAAAACGGTACTTAAATACAATGCCAAGTTAAGCACTTCGAATCTTTGTGCTTTTCACGGCAATTCATTAGTTAATGTCCCTCTGCGTACTACCGCTTGAGCAATGAAGTAACTTTGACGTAGTAAATAAAACATATCTAATTCTGAGATCGCATTCTACGTAAACATCAATTAGTCACATAGCTGTCTGGCCACAATGGAGTTCAATTAAAGTACCACCCTCCTATACCATCTTACTATTGCGCCTCAGATCAGTCAGAAACAAAACTGATGGGCAGTGAAGGCAAAAAGTAAATTTGCGAGTAGCATTCATCTACCCAACCTACCGATAAAATTGTTAACAAGAAGTAGAAAGACGATTTATAGGCTCTGAGCTTTAGCCCGTCACAAAATCTACGATTTATAGGCTCTGAGCTTTAGCCCGTCACAAAATCTAAGTCCTTGGGGCCATGTATCACTCGCAGAAGACAGTAGAAGGTGTGCAAAGCAAATGCCGAGAACAATTCTGTCCTTTATTCTCACTACTTTTACGTAGCCGTAGTACGGCTATTGAGTGAATCACCGTCTACTCTACTAAGATCCAGTTCTCGACCGAAGCGAAGCTTGATGGCCTCGCCTTGCTTACCGAGCCACATTCGCCCACTTCAAAATTATAACTTGGAACCACGAGACCTACGGAGAACTTCACAAATTCACACATTATAAACGGCTTCGTCAAGCCTATTTTATATTGGCGGATTCTTTTGAAATTGTACTGAGACAACTGGAATCAGTGACCCCCCTAATCCGTCACCGCTTTTGCCGCTCGTGGTGCCGA